CAACATCATACTCAATGGGCAAAAACTAAAACCATTTCACCTAAGAACAGGAACAAGACAGGGATGCCCACTTTCACCACTCCTGTTCGATATTGTACTGGAAGTGCTAGCCATAGTGATCAGACAAGAAGAATGAATAAAAGGCATACAAATTAGAAAAGAAGTAAAACTGTCCTTATTCGCAGATGACATGATACTATACATAGAAAACCCCAAAGATTCCATCAAAACACTTCTAGACGTAATAAATTAATTCTGCAATGTAGCAGGATACAATATTAACACCCAGAAATCTATGGCCTTATTATACACCAATAATGAACTCACAGAATGAGAAACGAAAAAAACAATCCCATTTACCACTGCACCAAAAAAATTAAGATACCTAGGAATAAACTTAGCTAAGGAGGGAAAAAAGCTGTACTTGGAAAACTACAGGACACTGAATAAAGAGATAGAGAAAGACATAAACAAATGGAAGAACATACCGTGTTCATGGATTGGTAGAATCAACATCATTAAAATGTTCATACTACCCAAATCAATCTACAGATTCAATGCAATCCCCATTAAAATTCCAATGACATATTTCAAAGATCTAGAACAAACTCTACAATGAAAAAAAAGACCCCGAATAGCCATAGCAATCCTGAGGAAGAAGAACAAAGTTGGAGGAATCACAATACCAGATATCAAGCTATATTACCAAGCCACGGTTCTCAAAACTCCTGGTACTGGCACAAGAACAGACATATAGACCAATGGAACAGAACAGAGAACCCAGAAATAGACCCATTATGCTCAATTAATATTTGACAAAGGAGGCAAGAGCATACAATGGAGTCAAGACAGTCTCTTCAATAAATGGTGCTGGGAAATTTGGACACATGCAAAAAAAAATGAAACTAGATCATGAACTTACACCATACACAAAAACAATATCAAAATGGCTAAAGGACTTAAATGTAAGATGGGAAACCATAAAAATCCTACAAGACTCCATTGGCAGCAAAATTGCAGACATATTCGTAGCAATATCTTTACGGACACAGCTCCTAGGGCAATGGAGACTAAGGAGAAAATAAACAAATGGGACCACATCAAAATAAAAAGCTTCTGCACAGCAAAAGAAACCATCAACAAAACAACAAGAAAGCCCATTGCCTGGGAGAACATATTTGCCAATGATATTCAGATAAGGGTTTAATCTCCAAAATTTACAGAGAACTCATACAACCTAACAAAAGGAAGATAAACGATCCAATCAAAAAACGGGCAAAGGACTTAAATAGACACTTTTCTATTTAGCACATACAGAAAGAGGACACACAGAAGGTCGAGAGATTTATGGAAAGATGCTCAGTCACTAATCATCCAAGAGATGCAAATGAAAAGGACAATGAGATACCATCTCACGCCTGTCAGAATGGCTATCATCAACAAATCAACAAACGACAAGTGTGCTGGCAAGGATGTGGAGAAAAAGGAACCCTTGTGCGCTGCCAGTAGGAATGCAGACTGGTGCAGCCACTGTGAAAGACAGTATGGAGTTTCCTCAAAAAGTTAAAAATAGAACTCCCATTTGACCCAGTAATCCCACTTCTAGGACTATATCCCAAGAAACCAGAAACAGCAGTCAGAAAGGATATATGCACCCCTATGTTCATAGCAGCACAATTTATAATAGCTAAGATTTGGAAACAACGTAAGTGCCCATCAGCAGATAAGTGGATTAAAAAACGTGGTACATCTACACAATGGAATACTACGCCACTACAAAAAAGAAGGAACTTTTACCATTTGCAATAGCATGTATGGAACTGGACAGCATTATGCTAAGCGAAATAAGCCAGTCAGAGAAAGATAAATATCACATGATCTCACTCATATGTGGGATATAATGATCAATGCAATTTGGTGAACAAGAATAGATCCAGAGACAAATGGCTGGGGAAGGGCAGGGGGTTAGAGAGCAACCAAAGGACATGTATGCAGTGTCTGGACACAGACACTGGGGCGGTGGGG